CACGCAAGCCGGACAGAGAAAAAGATGGTGGGTGGGGGAAAAAACATACATATTTGTCTGTTGCAGCACTGATGCACTCCATCCTTTGTCAGCACTGTCGTGCAACAACACAGAACCAGTGAACACGCATTCTTAACAGCATAATTGTTTCCCTCACTCTTTCCGAGCCTGCCCGCGCGTGTCTGCTCCGAAGCAAAACAACAACAAAAAAAAGTACAATAACCTATGGGGGTGTTTTTCTCTTCCACAGCTTCTTTATTCACATAAACTCACGACAGGACGCGAAGTGCTGATTAACCAAACACAGCAAATAATACACGTGGGCGCCGAATAAAGACAAACTCAAGTAATGGAATAAATGAATTTAAAAACAAAGGGAATATATAGTAAGAAACAAGTAAAGGGGCGGGCAGGCGCTGAACGCCCTCCGCTAAAGAGCGATTCCGCAAATCATAACCAGCCAACAGATGTGTGGCGCGACGACCACTACCACACGAACGTGCGAAGAGAGAGAGAAAGGGAGGGAGGGCGGGAGGTAAAGGAGCACAGTAGATGGCTGCGGCGCATCAGTGAGGCATCGCCGCTAGAGCCAATGGACGATGGCAGTGTATTTTATTAACATGAGCAAAAGAAATCTCTCTCCTCGCCTCATCCCCTTCGTTTCACGTATTTGCTTGTGTGTTTTATGGGGAACTCCGAGGCAAAGCGTAAAGTCATTCGTGAGAACATAAATGTGTTTACATAATGTAATGTTTTTTTTGGGTGTGCGCTTTCCTCTCTCTCCCTATTCCCCCATTTCCACCACCTATCCTTTCTCAATCACTTTATCTTTCCACCAGTTGAAGACGCACTCGCAGAAATACATACACATCATAAATTATACATTATACGCTCCTCTGTGGCGCGTGTGTGCGCAAGTGTTTCTTTGTGACGCTCCTCTGTTTTTTTTTTTTGTCGGATTTCCGCAGATAAGCCAACTTCGCACTTATTTCTTTTTTACTCATTTCCTTCCTTTTGGGAGGACGCGTTTCTCGCTCTCCGCCTACGGTTGTTTACAGCTGCTTTGCAGATTTACTCTTCTCGCCGCTCCCCTTTTTGTAAATTTGTGGTCAAGATGGCTCAATACACGATACGCCGATGATACATATACGCACACACACACACAGAGAATGAGAGAGAGAGAGTCGTATATTTATATTTGTATGGGCTGGGCGACGGAGCTGGCTGTCGAACTGTGCTAAGGCTTGCCCAAAGTTGAGCAGAATAAATAACGCTGGCGACTGCCCCAAAGAAATGAAGCGAAGGAGGGGGAGGGAGGGGGGGGGGAAAGACGAAAAAAAAAAAAAGGC